GAGAGAGTTGTATGCACTGTGTAACTGCCTCGAGGGTGCTTGACCATTTGAACACAACGTGGTGCGATCATCCCCCTTGCGCGGAGTGAGGGTTTTCCACCCCGCACAACATGATCTACTCGACCACCATTATGGTTACCGCCAAAAAAAAAAAAAAAAAGGAGTTAAAAAGTCAAAAAACGGTAACCTAGTTGCCGAGTTCACGAAGTGAATTGGCTTGTTTTACAACGTCGTTGCCAAGCGACGAAACCCCAACCCGATGGCAAGCACCGGGGGGGGCGGCTTGTTTTACAACGTCGTTGCCAAGCGACGAAAACCCAACCCCGATGGCAAACACCGAGGGGGGGATTACTCTTATGTTTTGCATGCCTTAGCGGTTAGACCATTGACCACGCGTCCTTGAGAGGATGGATCATGTCAACAGAGGGGGCGGGTGGGGCGCCGGGTATTCCAATTAAACTCCATGCAGACCCCGACCCGTCGTCACCTGGTTATAATGCCTTACGGCCGCGTCGTACAGCATCTTGTCCAGAGCGGTGTTGGCGTCCACCCTGTCTTGAACCTACAGGGCGCAGCAGCAAGCAGCAGCGGGGCCAGCGGCAGCGGCAGCGGCGAGAGAAGATCGGAGACGGTGGAGAGGTGAACGACGAGCCCACAAGCCTCAACTCAGTACGCCATACCGTTGGTTGCACAAAATATCACCCACCCTGGACCGACTGTTCAAAGCTCGCTTACTCGGCAGCAGTGAAAGCACCCAAGAATGGCGGTGTTGGAACCGTCTCGTGAGAGAGAGAGAGAGAGAGAGAGAGAGAGTTTTCCCGGAACAACGTATCATGTGATTCCTTCGTGATGGCGTAATCGAGCTTCAAAAATCGGTCCGGGGGGCGTCGTATCTTCTGCAGGACACACACGCTCGCTGTGCCGAACGAAGTCACCCCGTCGATTCGTTGTCGGACGACGTCCAATGCCAACACGATACAACGTGCTTGCCGTGCCGACGTGGACAGAAATTGTTGTGGGACTCGTGTTTTGTGACCGGCACCAACAGGCCGCTCGTGCGTTGTCCCCCCTTGCGACCCCACACATGGAGGCTTCAACGACGACGACCCATGGTACCCGTAACCATCGACACCGCCGTTACTTGAGCCAAGGAGCTTCGGCCACGGGTGGATTCAACGACCATCGTTCTCGGCAACGGTAAAGCCCTTGGCCAGGAGTTACTGGCAACCGTTGCCGAAGAACCAAGCTCTCATGAACGCAAGCATCGTTGTGAGGGCAACAAGCTAGCGCGAAGATAAATCGTAGCCGGTTGCGGGATGTTTCGGCGCATCGTACATTACCACCCGACCTTTTCGCGAGAAAGATCCGCGAAAAAAAAACGGAAAAGGGCGTGGGATGTTCGGTGCATCTGGCATACCACCAGAGATTTTCGAGAGAGCGAGATCGAGAGAGACAGAGACAGAGACAGGATAAAACCGAGGCATCATCAACGAACCCCCCCACTCATGACATCGTCAGCAAAGCAAGACCGTCAAACTTGCCGCTGTTGCACTCACCCAGGTCGGCAAATCTTCCCAGCGTGGAACATTCTTGAGTTCCTTTCCGTCCCACCGCGTCCCCCCAGCCTTCGTCTCCATCATGCGGGAGTAGGTCATGTCGATCATCTCCCACCCCAGAATCCGCCGCATCATCATCAAGCCCTCGTCAAACGCTTCAGTCAGCAAAACCTATATCGACATTTGTTGACATGCCAGGTTGCACGGGTGATTGATGAGCTTCGGCATAAAACGTTGGCACCATCGGTGATTCAGTGACAACTGTGTCGCCGTCCGACAGTTCTTTTTCTCTTCTACACATGTATGAAGGTCGGACCGGAGAACCTTTTTTCTTTTTCCTTTCGGGTACTTGGAGAATCTCATCGTTGTCGCTGCTGTTCCTGCTAAGGTGGGGGGGCCTAAAGTGCTGGTTAAATAGTGCCAGTGCCACGGGTTTGCCCGGTATAGTGCCGGTATTTTCGGCTCGCACACACTGATATGCCAAGTCGTTCTGTACTCTGAATAGTGCCGGTGCCCGGCATAGTGCCAGTGAAATCTTTGGACACACCCCTGCACTATGGAGGGCCCCTACTGCTACTTGCATGCAGCTACGGGGCATTGGTGAGCTTAGACTTGAACGTTGGCATCACGATTCAACAACTGGTGTGGTCGCCGGGAAAATCGCATTTTGATATATACGTCGCCCCCCCAACATGTTCCGTGTGTTTTGGCGAATGAATCTCATCGTTGTTGCCTCCGCTGTTACTGCTGTTCCTGGTACAGAGTGTCGCTCGAGATGGCCCGGGAGGCTTTCCGGGTGCAACCCCTGAAAGCGTCGTTGTCATCCCCCCCCTTTGCGGAATTTCCCTCTCCCCCTCATTCCTCTCTCTTCCTTCATCTCTGACTGCATCCCTTTCTCCCACATTCCTCTCTCGTTGTCTGTCCTTATCTCTGTCTCTGTCTGTCTGTCTGTCTGTCTGTCTGTCTGTCTGTCTGTCTGTCTGTCTGTCTGTCTCTCCCCTCTCTCTCTCACCAGACGGAAGTCCGGCAGCTCCGTCTCGATGAATTGGGCCAGCTGTTCACCGTTGTGGATTCCGAACTCCGCACAAAGCGGGTTTGTTAGCCTCCGCCGTTGGTACTGAAACTGGGGGTCTTCTCGATTGCTTCCGAAAAAGTGCTGCACTGACAACTGCTCACGAGACACATCAATAATTCGCGAAAAACGCGTGCGAGGGGGGGGGGGGGCGTGGTTAGAGGGGGGCGGTGTACTCCTATTACGGACGAACACAGAATTCAGGTCTACATTGCCCTGAAATTTTTGTTCTGATTTTTTTTTTTTTTGCCTTGTCCGAAAATATATGCATTTGTGGCCTTCAGAACAGATCTTCGGACACCCATAAGGAGGGCACGAGTATGCACGTGAGTGAAAGCTCATGACCACAGCTGTCTGTAGATACCTGAGTTGCGCTTAGAATTTCAATATTGCGTACAAAATATGCAGCTGGAAATGGGCACTTCAAGCGCCTTTTTTTCACTGGGAAATAGAGACTGAACAGCCTGGTTCTGAATTGGCAACGCAAGCAAAACTTTTCGGAAAACCTGAGAGTGTGCGCCCCGGGCAGCGTGCCCCTTTTTGGAATCCAACACGTCGGTGCCGAGCACTGCGCTGTGGAACAGAGGCACCTTGGGTCTGATGCCTACGGCTGCACGTGCGCACATGGTGACCAAAAGGAAGGGTAGCTATGTTGCGACCGGCGTGACAGCCAAAGGGAAGGCCAGGACGGAGAATGCGAACTTGGCGATCATGCTGCGCGCGAAGGAGGCAGCTCTCGCTGTCCGCGAAGCAACCGTCGCTGCTCGCGAGGCCGCGATGGCGAATAAGCAGCAGCAGCAGCAAGGACCCGAAGCGGACACACGTAGGCCCCAGCAAGGGGCCGCGAGCAACAAGCTGCCCAGCAGCGTGACGACTTGGCCCCCAGGACAGGCTCCGTTCTGGACATTTCGCAGTCTCGAAGGGATCCTCTCCCCTAAGTCAATGTGGTGGTTTGAGTCATTGCATGTTGCAGATTCCAAGGGAATGGCACTTTTTATGTTTTCATTCGTTCTGCGTGACGTCTTGCAGCTTAACCTTCAACGAGCGAGGTTGACGTGTTGCGGTCGATAATACATGATAATTTTTAACACCAACAACATTTCTTTCAGCATTTCTTTTCTCGCATGGCGATCCCAGTGATACGGTTCGTTTGAGCTGTGGGTGGTGGACATAAGCAGCCATTTGCCCAAGATATCAAACAACCTGGGCCAAATTTTCCGCCGCCGCCAAGGCCAAAATTCGGCACATGTGGCGATTTCTC